CTACATTGTTTATGTAACACACATCCCCAAAAATACAAGTTTACGACCAAGAAAAGCGTCACCCATACCTAAGTGTAAGTAGCACTATAACCCCAAAAATTTGTTTACGGTAACTGCCATGCCAAGTGAGATAAAATCGGGAACTAGTATTCCAAGCCCGCCCCGCCCTTTCAGCTATAATTTGGTAATAGTGCACCGACCGCTACGTGTCGTGAATAAGGAGCTATTTTAGCGAATTCTCTGTTTTAGGACCTATTCGCGGGCAGAATGAGCACTGTGAGGTGGTTTGAGTGTTTGTATTCTCTTAGAAATAATATTTACTTATTTAATTTTGTCGCAGGGAAAGAGTCAAAAGAGTCGTCTTTGTTATTGGTTAGTATTGGACCGGAATATTTGGAGGTACAGTCGCGGAATGAAAAGGTTCGTCACCTTAGTGTCGGTTTTCGCTTGCACTAGGTACTGTAAGAGTCAAACCTGCCAACATAACAGTGCAAGAAACAGTGCTGCTAACATTTAAATAAATATGACGTTTGCTAACTAATAAGGTTTTGCTTGTTTATTTTTCTATCCCATCAGTGCAATGCAATGATGACATTGACCAATTGACAATAGTTTTTAGGGTTCCGTAGCCAAAATGGCAAAAACGGAACCCTTATAGTTTCGTCATGTCCGTCTGTCCGTCTGTCCGTCTGTCCGTCTGTCCGTCTGTCCGTCTGTCCGTCTGTCCGTCTGTCACAGCCGATTTACTCGGAAACTATAAGTACTACAGTGATGAAATTTGATGGGAATATGTGTTGTATGAACCGCTACAAAATTATGACACTAAATAGTAAAAAAAAGAATTGGGGGTGGGGCCCCCCATACATGTAACTGAGGGATGAAAATTTTTTTTCGATGTACATACCCGTGTGGGGTATCAATGGAAAGGTCTTTTAAAATGATATAAAGTTTTCTAAAAAACATTTTTCTTAAAGTGAACGGTTTTTGAGATATCAGCTCTCAAAGTCGTAAAAAGTATGTCCCCCCCCCTCTATTTTTATAACTACGGGGTATAAAATTCTAAAAAAAATAGAGGTGATGCATGCTAATTAACTCTTTCAACGATTTTTGGTTTGATCAAAGTATCTCTTATAGTTTTTGAGATAGGTTGATTTAACTGTAATTTTGGTTATATTTTTTTTTTATTTAATAGAAATAATAATGGCAGGTTGAACCAACAAGAAGGTTTTAGTTTATCAATCATCATAATCTTCTTGACAAGATAAATCGTCAAACAACTTTGATCTGAATAAATTTTAACTTTACTGACGAACAGTTAAAGATTATTTTCTCTAACTCGAGATCATTCTGTAACATAGTTTCAAAAGGTAATATGTGCTCGCGATTCGTTGAAGGAATCAATTTGAAAACTGACGAACCTTTTCATTCCGTGACTGTACATATGAAGGAAACATAGGAGACATAGGGCAACAACGGCGCAATAAGTATTAAGCTCATTTTCCGTATACTAGCCCTTTAATTTACGAGTCGATAAGTGCCATGGATATCTTCTACCCAAAAATCGATTACAACAAGAAGATAATTTCCTTAAGAGAAATAACATTTTGTTATTTGTGTCAATCTGAATGATAAATTTGCATCGATGATTAACATTGTAGAAGTGCAATGTTAACCAGTAATATAAGTCTCGGTGACTGTATCAATTATTTCATAACCACTGTACGCCGCACACTATTCTTCTGCCCATTAACTCACAGCAGTCATCAGAGGATTCCGGAAAAACGTTATTAAACAACGCACTCAGTTATTTACCCCTAATTGTTCCCAACGCGTCTAATAGCTCCAGACAACAAAAAATATATTAATAGAGAAAACACCAACACCAATAAACCTTGCTTCGGACGAAAATGTTAAGAAAAGGACATATTAATTCCTCTGTCCGACCCTTACTAGCTCCCTCTCTTTTGCGCTCGCATTATGTTGTATAACTGCGTCTCGTTCCCGCCCCCACGCTTAAGTGTCTGACCAGATGTTACCAGTTTTATTGAAAAAGTCGCCCGCCATATTGCGACTTTCCCGCTAGTGAATTAAGATGTAGACGGATAGAACCGTTATAAGTTATAGCCGATAGCGGTAATAATAACGCGATAACGGCCCGTAATTTTTTGCAGCGCGTATTTAATTAAGTTTTCTCTTTATTGTTGAGTAAAGACTGTAGCAATGGGATTTGAAAGTAGATTATAGCAATGCGTTTGTCATATTTGGAAATTAATTGTAGTTACTGTATTAATTCTTGAAAAATCCATTGATAGTGTGATGCAAATTGTTATAGGACTCCAAAAAGAAATGGTCGAAGGTAGGGTTGCCAGGTGTCCGGATTTAGCCGGACATGTTTGGCTTTATAGGGTCTTGTCCGGCCAAATATTGTCTCATCCGGAATGTCCGGCTTTTTATGTGGCTTCTGCGCCAGGCGAAAGTCGAGCCACAGAATAATATCAAGCGCATGCATCAGGATGTTGGAGAACAGATGATAATATGACACTAATGCTTTTAGAGTAAAATGTCCGGCCAAATGAAGCACAGAGTCCGGCTTTTGTGGTTTTGGACCTGGCAACCGAACCGACCTGGTAGTCGAAGGGCCGTTTCCCACGGCAATCAAGTTTAACGTTTTACGGAATCTTGAATTCCAATAATTTGAACAGATCAGTTTTTTGCGGGACAGTGCAAACGGGATTTTCGTGTAAATGTTATAAAAACGCATAAAACTAAACAGGATAATGGTAAAAACGGGATATCTCCATGGGAAATTGGGAAAGACTCAAGTTATTAAATCAAGACGAATTCCATGCTTCGAAATGCACGTAATTCCGTCGTACCTACCTATTTAAGCGGTAAAATGCCTGTGGCGATTGATTAGGTCTGACACCAGGGTTGTGGTGTTACCACCTTATTTGTCACAAGATAGAAAACCGTCACAGTATTTATGATTGAATTGATAATAATAACCAATGCATGTGCGTTTTAACCGACACTTTTCATGTTTACTTGGTATATTTTTCCGCTCTATATTATGCTGCCCGGTTTTTTGCTACATATAAAATTGTTAAAGTCAAGAAGTCTCACTTAACACCAGGTGCGATTGCGGTCAAATAGCTGCCTTGTTATGCATAAAAAAATGAATTTTCACAACACCAACTACAATCTATCAGGCATCTACTAGAAAAGCTCGCTTCATTGAGATCAAACTGATCGTATCGTTCCAAAAAAGAAAGAACTAAGCAAAACTATACGTTTTTTTGATGATTACAAAACCTTTCAAAGCCTTAGTTAATACTATAATATTAATGTGTTCGCATAAGAATAGAGAAACAGAATAAAAGTAATCTAGCCTCTCGGCGATGCCCTGTGATCCTGATGATCCTCATTGCAAGAATTGATTTTCGAGTTTGGTTACCTAATACACAATAATTTGGAAAACCTTGGGGGAGGTCTTTGCCCAGCAGTGGACGTCATTTGGCTGAAACGAACGAACACAATAATTTAAATAATCAACAATTTATCAACGTGTATACGTCTCCATAAGATGAACATTTTAAATAACAGATTTAATTCTATTTAGTTTGTATTGTAACTCTTTTTTTAGTTGTACTGCCTTCCTATGTAACTCTTTCCTTAGCTGTTTTAAATTAACAGGTTGATTGAATTTTAAACCTGAGTTGTATTAACTTACTTACACTATAACACACGTCAAAAGGCTGTAAAACTTCATAAAAAACACCGGTTATAGTTATAGTTACGGTTAAAGTTAAGGCGGCGCAACAGACGCTAAATGTTTGGATAATTTGATTTAAATAACATGTTTTTGATCTCACTAATAATAATTGATCATGGGCAAAATTATGTCCCAATAATGATTTTCATGGCTAGCTCACGCCGTTTCGGTCAAAAAACTCTACCCACAAAAGAGCTAAAATTACGTTACAAATTGTGTAAAATTGTCGCAATTAAGTCTCATCTACCAATTAAAGCGCTGCAGCATTTAAACCGTAAATTTTCATCGCCACCTCGATACGGAGGGTAGGAGAGTATTTCAGCTAAAAATCCATCGACAAAAGAGCTCTCCGAAGCTATTAAACACGCACAAATTAGACGCAGAAGGCGTGCACCGCGCAGCACCGCCCACCAGACCAACTTATTGAGAAGCAATTCAAAGTCTTTGGATTATGTTTCTCAAGTGCTTGAAAAGAGATGAAGGGAGAATTATTTAGATAGGTATCTGTTTTAAAGCAAAACAAGGAGTTTGTTTGGTTTGGGTAGTTACATTTTTAGCCGATAGTTGGGCCCGATTTTAATTTGTATGAAGAATCGTCCAATAGCATATTGGTGTAATGTGCGCACTTTCATTCATCTCCATACTGATTAACAGCCCGACCTAACTATCGGTCAATTAAAAATCGGTGATCTGCGCCTAGGCTTAGTATACTTAGTTGGGAGTGTAGATAAAATTTGCCTTTCTGCAGTAGAGACTGGCTGGGTTGCACCATCTCAAAAAAACTCTGAACGTCAAAACTCTGTCAAACTCCATATAAAAACGCTGGTTATCGTTATAGTTTCGGTTAAAGTTGGGTGCAACTCAGCCATAAGGATCTGAAGATAATTGCCATGTCGATCAACAAAAAAACCGTGTAGAATTTTGTGATTAATCCTGTAGACTTCAATGGCAAGATTTAGCATGGCACAAGTTGTAAAATTTCATCAAAATCCGTCCAGTAGCTTTGCGTGAAGATTTAAAAGTATTCATATTATATCCTAACAAAATTAAACCCGTTGTGGAGCTTTAAAGTCAAGTATTAAAATTTTGCCATCTAAACACTTATTTATTACTTCTTTCTTTTTAATTAATTGTTATTTATGTCTAACCAAGTTATTATTAATATTGTTATTTCACCTCATAATGTGTGCTGTAGTTCCAAATAAATTAAAATAAAATAAACACTCACCATTAACGTTATTTTTTGCCGAAACGTCTTCCCTATCACCCAAAATGGCACTGACACTGAACTTCAATGTTGGTTTCTTCTGTTCGCTGCTGAACTCCTCACAATTTCTAACCATATCGTCTGTGTTAAACGCTTTGTCCTTGATCTCCGCTTCATCCCCAGAGTTATCTTGATAACTGTGCAAATTGAAGCGCTTTTCCAGCTCTTCCAAGCGCCTGATACCAGACTTCTTGCACGCAAACGGCGGGCACTCAAACGAACCACAGCTCTGGCACCGTCTCCCCAAATTAGGTATATTTAAAACCTCCTTTTCATTCCTCTCTTCGCCCCTATAATAATCCCCATTGTAATAAACCTGCTCATTTTTCACGCCATTAAAACCTTCCTCTTCATCTCTGCTTTTAGAATCTTCGTCCTCCATTTTGGTGTCCTCAACCGACTCGTCGTTTCTGTTGCTTTCGTCTTCAATTTCAGCCATCTTATTGTCCTCAGCGTCAGGGGAATTCTCTCTAGATCTCTCGTAGTTCTGCCGCAGAACGTAGTTCTCAATCTGCTGGTTCAAATACTGATTGTGGAAGTTCACCGTCTTCTGCTGATGCAAGATGTTGTCCACCAAAAAAGGGGATGTCATGTTAAAAGGCGCACTATTCTTGTTATAGCATAAGTTCTGTATAGTTTTCAACATAATGTTGTGGTCCAAACTCTTTTGGGCTACAAACGGGTTCAACTTCAACGGTCCATGTTTATCTGTCGGATACATCCTACGGTCATAATCACGAAATAAATAACGTTATTCGGTATTTTTTTCACAGCACTATTTATTTTGAATTTCGAAAGCGGAAGTGTCAAATTTGGACCGTTCAAATTCGAGTTCGCAGTCCGATTCGCGCATGATCGTCGCGAGCATGTGCGCAGTTTAAAGGTCCGAAATCGACTGAGTTTTAAGGGAGTGGTTCTTAAATGGGGCGGGAACCGGGGGTGGCTTTTTCGCTTGGCTTTTGTGTGGGCTTAACCAGTGATCTGTGACCCCCTTGTCTGTTTCCAACGCCTTTATTCCTTTGAGATAGAGCTGTTTTAGCGTTATTCTCGAGTTCTAACTAGAATGGTCGCTTGACTCACTTACAAGATTGTAAATGCGCGTCTTTAATCTAGATTTTGGCATCTATTTCTTCTGTACTAAGGTCGGGATTGCTTTGAATAAGTGTCCCATCATACTTGCAGTGTTTATTGAGACAACAGTGCCTCTGTGTGTTATATTCATTGCACGAAGGAGAAAGGACGTGTATATTTTTTGTTTGAAAGGATTTTCTTTGCGTCTATTTTGATTTGAGTCATTTATTTTTCATTTGCTTTTTTTAGGATAATTTATCAATATCGTTTACAGTTAGCCGGGTTTTGCTGGTGAAGTATTTTTGTAGCCGGAGGAAATAATTCCAGATTGTTATACTTAATGGTATGTTAGTCTGGAGATTGTATTGGAATTTGTTCGTTAAAGCTTTGTCTGGGCCAGAACGTTTAGTCTTGTTCGTTCAGTCAGAAATTCTAATCTTGAACACTTTAATTATTAATTTTTGAGATAAATAAAAATGGTCACGTCCTACTTATTTGACTACAGTTGGAGTACCTACTTAGTTGACACTGTTAATCAGTAACGTAGTACTTATAATGTAAGTACTTAATTTTTTTTAAGAAGTGGCCGTGGGTCTTCATAGACAACTATTTTGACTTTGTTGATTTTAAAGTAGCTAATGTTTTCTATTAGGTACTACATGAAAATAAAGGAAGGTTCTTATAGTGCACGCACCTGTGACCTATTCAATACGATGTAATTATGTAGGTAAGTGGTGATTTTTAAATGCTATCGGTTTGCATTTACTATCGGAACTAATAGATTACTCCGAAAGCAAAACAGAATAAAATAAACTTTAATATCAGAGATAAAAATATCAACAAAATTAAGTCTCATCATCATCATATTTAGCCACAGAAGGTCCACTGCTGGACATAGGCCTTCTATGATGTACAGAATGTGTCATTGGGGTAATATAAACTCATTCATATGAAAATTTACTATCCTATGTATTACTAAGTTTCATCCCAAGTGTAGGTATTTTGTCAATCATGTTGATGCTCAAAGGCAACGATCAACAGCCCGTCAACCCGACGTGTAATCTGTTACGGACTCGATTCGGACCGCTTTGACAACTCCACAGTCTATGGATTATTCAAAATGGAGAACAAAAGAAAAAGAAATGCGCACGAAGAAAAAGGATTCCAATTTTGAAATTAGCCACACCCACTTTTATGTTATTGGCTGATACGTTTGGCACTGCAGTTTACGCGTTTGGATTTTTTACTTTATCTCCATTGCTTTAAGGTCGATTATAGCATGGTATAGTAGAGAGAAAGGTAGTGTATCAAAACGTTTGGACAATGAATTTTGTTCGCGATAAATTTTGTGAGTCGGTGACGTCACTGGGTCAGTCAGCTCACTGCATAATTATTTGAGGTCCCGCTCCTAAGGAAAACTTGGATTTATGAATGGTCTTATGTATTTCATACTTTCTTTTGCCTACTTCAGCTAGCAATACATCATTACCAAAGTGGATTAATGACACTAAATGTTTTTTTAATTTGCGTGGCCCATTTGGGAAGTCTCTAAGGTCTAGTTATATTAGACACAAAGGATTCCGTATATTCTTACAGTCCAGTAGGTGGGTAGGTATAGGTAAACTAGAATTATAATTATTAATTTGGTATTAGACAATCAACTGTGACTATCGGAAGGGTGGTCTAGATGGAAGTTTTTTAGTATTCAAAACTACAAAACCGATTTTGATGGAACTTTATGTAAAAAAAAACTTAAGTATTTTCGGTTTATGAGATAGATAGACTAATAGAAAGACAAATACGGAAAAACTTAATTTTAAAATGTGGAATTATCTAAAAGATAATAATTTCTTACTTGTTATATTATTTTCACTAGCGTTCACGTTCAGCAGGTCTAGAGAAAGTGCACATTATAATCGCAAACCAGTCGAAATGCCTTTTTTGTATGAAGTTTTGATTCTTTTGATGGATTCGATTTTCGATTCAATCATAAGTGCAACTTGTCTAGGGGGCTGCCTTAATCACGGTATGGATCTATAATAACAAATTAAGCATTAAACAGTTCAAGATGGCTCCCCCTGCCAACTGTCCGTGACAAATCGGTCTAATTGACGAATACGACGCTCATTTGAATCTACCCTCCATATTGTTATAGGCAGGAATACAGAAAGAACTACTTTGCAGTCTTATTTTGTTATTTATTTCACTAAACTTTGCAGTCGAAAGATGATTGATTAGAAACAGGCAAAAAAAAGTAAGTTATTGTTTTTAAAAAACGTTTCACATTTTAAGCAACTTCAAAAAGGAGGTTCTATTGAAAAAAATATGGTTTGAAAGTAAAAATAAATTAAGTATAATGCTTAAAAATTTCAGCTTTACCATCTGTGATTTAAGTTTCTACAATCATTAATTAACTAAATTCAAATTAAATATCCTTTACGAGTTACGTTTGGATCATAATCATAAATAATTTAACGACAAAAATCAATTCGTTACTAATGTAATCTGTGAACACATGCGTTTGACGTTGACATACATTTTGGCGCGAACTGCGCGCACGTGGCGCCCTCTATTCTCTGATTGGTCACACTCCCCGCTCGCGATTCCGTTACGGAGATTTTGTTTTGTCATTGCGTTTTATAGTTTTATTTATTACGCATTCAACAATACTAAATGGGTTACTTCACGCTTCGGTTTTTAATATTATTCAAATGGGTCACGCAGATACAATTTTGAACCGGTTTTCTAATTAATAATGATGAAAATACTGTGAAATCGTGTTCTGCGTGGGTAAAATGTTTTGATATTATTTTAATCCGCGTAATAGTTGACTATTTATTAGAGATGAAACGGATAGTGGTTTGGCCGGATACCGGATACCGGATATCCGGCGAGCTGCTAGGCCGGATAGCCGGATATCCGGCGGCCGGATAGTTGGCCCATTGTCTCGTTGTATGTCATGACTAGTTTAGCGCCACCAGGTGCTTCGAACGCGATCAGTGGGTCTAGTAGACAAGTCATACTTTTCGAAAATCGAATCCGTATCCGTCCGAATAGAATGTCAGATGTTGCCACTTGTCTAGGGGGCAGATCAATTCGAGCGATTTCGGTTGCCATCGTGAGTGTGTGGTTGAATAGGGAAAATTAAAATTAGTTTACTTGCTGCGTAATTTGACTGAACTGAATCATGTCATCAGACTGTCATTGACACTTGGAATTGTCATTCTCACTAAAATGTCTCTGGGGTGGTGGCGTAGTGAGGCGGGTCGTTACATTCCCTCTAATATGGTCGAGTGAAGCGATGGCTGGTTCACTCGTCATGTCTGTGAACAGGCGCTGCTTTCGGGGACTGGTCAATCCAAGTTATTCAAATTTATGTATGCGAGTCATTTCTACTAGTATCTTAATATGTAAGTCTAGATATTAGCACGTCACTACCTTGTTTATACCACGCAATCTTGTATACCCATTCTTATAAGACATACCATACAAGAATGCATGGTAAATTCAGTGAACTGCTCCTGAATCGAATGTACCTACTACTACTATTTCTATTTATTTATATTAACCGGCAGACAGTGGTGACTGAGTTTGTTGCGGCGCTTCTTCTCAGCACTTGCCAAATGTTGGTCTCGAAGCGCTGGTAGGGTAAAAAGATTATGAGACATGTAGAGGCTCCTTAAGAGCAAAATGACGATTTGTAAGAACTATTTATTAGTCCAAACAAATAAAGAAATTTTGACTTTGACTTTGACTTTGACTTTGAGACCATCAGTGAAAAAAAGATCGCCTAATTTAATTGGCTATATTTCGACATTAACAGATAGGTATTTATTTATTTAGTACTAGCTTTCCGCCCGCGGTTTCGCCCGCGTGGAATTTTGTCTGTCACAGAAAAACGTTATCGCGCGTGTCCCTGTTTCAAAAACCGGGATAATAACTATCCTATCTCCTTTCCCGGGACTCAAACTATCTCTATGCCAAATTTCATCAAAGTCGGTTTAGTGGTTTAGGTGTGAAAGCAAGACAGACAGACAGACAGAATTACTTTCGCATTTATAATATTAAGTATAGAAGTATAGATTCGTCATTAGAGTGAATAGCCCTGAAAAAGAAAAGTTTTTTGAAAGGCCTTAATATGGATTTTTTGTATCTTTTTGGACTTTAATTATAAGCCGTTATTATTATAAGCCTTTTTATTGATATTTACCTCAAAGATGAATGTATTTCATTTTATTATAAGAAATTGTCGTAGTTTTTTAATATCCGGTATCCGGCCGGATAGTGAGTTACTATCCGGTATCCGGCCGGATAGTAAATTTAGGCCGGATATCCGGCCTACCGGATAGTTACCGGATATCCGTTTCATCTCTACTATTTATCATACTAATAAAATGATAACTCGTCAGTTCTAATTTTTTTTCACGCATAACAGCTCAAGTAATAATTTTGAGAAATTTTGGGATTGAACTTGCGATAATTCTTTAGAATATTCATTTATAAATGTTTATTTCCCTTTAGAAGACCTTATCTAGTATTTAGTCAAAGCACCTACCGTCTCTCAGCTCTCAATCTAACTAATAAATAACTGTATTAATTCATAATCTGTAATTAGCATCCAAAATAAAAGCTTTTGGTTAGCTAAGTACCTACATACATACTCGTAAGCGGACATACACTTAAAAAAACCATTGTGATGCAAGCGAAAGGTCCTCAACTTTATGGAAAGTAGTACCTAATTAATTTGTGGCTCTAACGTCTAATTAAAATTTTAATTTTGCGTTTTTAAAGCTCTGAATTCAAAAA